CTAAACATATATTATTCTGTACAGTGCCACTCGATTAAGGTGGCGTGTATGTGAGAATTTATTCTTCTTAGCACTCACGGGTTCCCCATCACAACAACCTATTTTTTTCTCTTCTTTAGCACTTTTTCTTTCTTTAATTCTTTAGTGCTTTTCTTTCTTTCTCTTTATTCTTAAAATTCTTTATTCTTTCTTTAAGTTCTCATACATATGTAAATATATGTATATGGATGGCTCATGCTTATGTTTCTTTCTTAAGTGCAATTATGCAATGCAAATATGCTATGTTGCACAGAAATAAGTTTCTCTACTTATGCACAAGCTTCTCTTAGGCATTTCATCAAACATCATGCATGCATACTTTAATTCTATTTTTGATACATCTCTACTTCTTTCTTTAACCATCCATTCATGGAGCAAAACTCCTCCACAATAAATCTAAACATGGCCAAGAAAAAACACTTCAAATATTCCACTTAAATTCTTTCTAATTGTAACCAAACTTCACTTGGTTACCACAACTTCATTTCTACTTCTCATCCAAAGCCATTAACTCATCAATAATATCATTCTCAATAATCAATCTCAAGCTCATAAACATAAGCATGCATATCAATCATTTGATTGCTTAAACCTTAACTTGGGTTGGATTTACTTACTTTATGCTTGAAGACTTGCACAAAAGTTCTTTATCCTTGTTTGTCTTGTTCTTCCTCTTAAACCCTAAGCATAAACTTAATAAGAATTCAACATGTATACAAATTAATCCCATGTTTAGAGCAAGAATTCTTACCTCTTGATGCTTAGGATCAAATCCTTATAAAAATCCAACCAAAAGCCCTCAATTTCCTTAGCAAAAAGGATGAAGAATTAAGAGAAATGAAGAGTAGTAGAAGTGTATGTGGTGTAAAGAATGGGAGGGTTTCTAAGGCTAAAACCTTTTTATGAGAAATAAGCATTTTTTCCCCTTTTGTCCTTGCTCTTCTTAGGGAATTTCATCTCTACCCTTTAATTCTTTACATATCCAAGCCCACTCTAATATATTCTCCTTGAAATTTCCTTGCATTTCACTTCTCACTTTTCCTGCTAATTAGGGGTAGAATGGTCACTTCACCCCTAAGGAAAATTCTTTAGAAATTTCACTAGAAAATTTATCCAACTCATCGCCCCGGCGAAGATTTTTCTTTGCCCCAGCGAACAATTCCAAAGCATACGCCGCTGTGGCGACGCTTCTTCTTCGCCGCGGTGAAGTCTGCAATTCCAAAATTCGCCAAGACTTTATCAAATTCAGGGCATTCACACAACCATATCAACATACAAACTTAGCCAAGCACCAATTTACCACATTAAGGGCAAAATAAACATAAATCAAAGACATACCTCAAAATGGGTGTTACAAATAGATGAGGAACAAAAAAAATTATTTTATGCCTATTACAATGACAAAAGAAGTGACGTTTGTGTCAACTGCAAGACCGGGGATTATCCCTGGAAGTGGTTTGATTAGATGTTGAGAATGGGCTATTGGCTTGATGACTTGGTGAGTTATTTTTTAGTATTTTTCCTTATTTTTTCTTATATTTCCCATGAGGTATTCTGTGATCGCTTAAGCGATCGCTTAAAGTGATCTGTTTAGAAAAAATAGATCGCTTAAGAAATCTGTTTTTTCTAGACAGATCGCTTGTGTTTGCCAAGACACTTATCATCTTGTTTTGACTTGATGCAACACTTTGACAAGGTATTAACACTGATAATGGTGCGACATAGTACAAATGGTTATATTTTATATCAGCAAAGTGCCATCACCGATGTTTCTTTTGGCCAGAGCCTAGTAAGTATATGTGAGACATTAATGAAAAAGGCTAATGATAGAGTTGTAACAAGAGGAGGCAAGTGGAAAAGAATGGTCGCAGAGGAGTTTGACGGTGTCATTGCAGATTATCAGTTTGACGAGTGGATGATGCAGTATGTTAGGGGGGAAAGGCCCAAATATGGCAACGGGTGGGCAAAGGTGACAAGGGTATACTGTATCATAAATATCAAGCAAATGCATTGGATAACCGTTGTTTGACTACTTGAGGAGGGCTTGGTGCAGATCCTTGATTGCAACTGAAGTGTTTGTCGAGAGAGAGAGCTGGACACAATGATGCAGTCATTGTGTAAGTTGTTCCCGCAGCTTTTGCGAGACAACGGGATATTTGAGCACTTAGGTGATGAACTACTAATAGGAAAGTGGCTACACAAGCAAGTTTCTGTTTCGACTAATGACGCGAGGTAAATTGCATATAAAACTTACATATTACCATTGTTCTATAATCTGATTCTAATAGCAATGTCTTCCTCATATTGTAGTATTGATTGCAGGGTTTATGCACTCAAACTTCTTGAGTTCGATATGACTAACACCTCAATGGACAACTTGAATGACCATACAATGAGCAAATTTCAGGAGTGCTTAGTTGTTGAGTGCTTTCACGGTCAGATGGATCCCTTAGTTGCTACACACTTTGCTTAGGTGGTAGGTGGTTTATTTCTTTTATATTATTGGTTGTGAGCAACAACGCTCAAGTTTAATACTTGCCATTCATATTAAATTATCTTTTCTGCGTTGTTTAATGACTTTTTTATCTTATATGATCGAGTGGTTCTATTTACTCTATTTGAAGGAACTTCATGAGAAAATGAAGAAGAAGGGTGAGACCCCAATAATGTTAAGGTAAAGAAATTTCACTTTCTGATATATTTTTGTGTATATGGTTTGAACTTTATGGATTTAACCTCTTTTGTTCTCTTTTTTAAATTGAACTTTTTCATCTGTTTCAGTCATTTGGGGCCTCCTCGAAGAACAACAAGTGTGGAAGAAGAAAAGAGAGTGAAACACCCAAAGCCAGAAGTAAATCAACTGACTTGTGATTGCTATTTTAGTGCTTTTTGCTTATTTTTGTACCTAGATGTACCCTTTTTTTATTATTTTGTCACAAGACTCTGCTTACTATCACCCAACCCTGAATCCTAGTGGCGCTCCACCACTTGGAAAGCCTCTAATGTATTTATCCTCAATAGGTCTGCATCTTCTTCATCTCTTTCCTTCTTATTTTCTACCTGAGTATTTTGTTAGTTTTATTTGTTGAGAACCATGGTTTTAAAACCTCGCCTGGCTTGACCCCATCGATTGAATCAGTTCGACCAGGAACCGGTGGCTAGACCGGGTCGGTTCATATAAAAAAACGAGAATCAGCAATTGACCCACTTCCACCTGCAGTTTGACTGTTTTATTTTTTATTTTTTATTTTTGTGTTAAACCACTAGTCCAGCTAGTATAAATTGGGTCTGCTACAGTAAAATATAAAAAAAATAATTTAAAATTAAAAGTTAAAAACTTAAAACCCTTTTCTGAGTTTTCTCCCTTCCCCAATTTTATTTGACAATACCTAGCACCCCAGCACCAATAGAGAAGAAAAATAAAAAAACCCATTACCAAACAACGAAATTAGCTTTAGCTTGCACTCTCTCTCTGATGGGGATGCTGGTTTACTCTTTCTGATTTTACTTTGGTCGTAGTGTTGTTGCCTTTTCGATATGGCTGCTCTGACTAGTTTCATTTGGCCGTGATTCCAAACTTGGAGTGTTAGTTCTCTTTTCTCCATTTTTTTCTAGTTTATTTTTGTGTTCCAGATTTGGGTCATCGTAGTTGCGGTCCTTGCAGAAATTGTGAGTTAAATTGAAAAGATGCCTAGCAAAAACATCCCTTGTTTGTTTTATAATATTCTCAAAGAGGGATGAATTTTCACCATGCTTTGTGAGGAGAGAGTTTGTGGATGATTCAAATTCTCCTTCTTAAACTTTCCTCTCTAGTTACTCTCTTCTCTATCCAAGTTGGTATGTTGTAGACTTGTAGTTTTAATTTAATTTCAGATTTGGATATATTTGTTACATATAATTTTTTATTATCACTGTTAAAAGTTAAAATCTGCATTTTGTTTAATTTTTGTTTTTGTTTTTTGCTGACGTCACAGTCCGACCCACCGGTTGAACCGTTCGACTCGTCAAACCTGTGACCCTCGGTGGCTTGGCCGGGTTGCCCCCGGATCGGGTTTTAAAACCTTGTTGAGAACTCTCTCCCAATATGGGGTTTTTTTTTTTTTCATTTTCTTTTTTAAATACAATGTATTAAGAATTTTAAATTTTTCTAACTTATTTTAATACCCCAATTCATTCAAGCATTACCCTTTTACTCTTTTTTTTTTAATACATATTTTGTTTCAAATTTTTAATTATGTTTATAATAAAGTATATTTTATTAAGAACATTTGAATTTGTAGGGTGGACTGTGGAGTAGATAGTTGCCAACTTGCCATTTAAACTATAATTTTTTGATTGCATGGTTATTAAAGGTAAATTATTTAAAACCAAAAAAAAATTGACAAAATTATGATTATAATTTTATTTCTAATCTTTATCCTCATCAATTTATGATATACTTTTATTTCCATTACTTCATGCACCTTCTAAAATTTTGAAATTTATTTCAAATCAAGTATTAACCTAGAGTTGAAGCTTATAAAGGGATTTTTTTTTTTTTTTTTTTTCCTTATGGAAACTATACATGACTTCAAAGTAATTTCATACAAGGATAAAATTATAATGCATTTGAAAGATGGGGACAAATAACATCACTCAAAATATGTACCTGAGTTTTTCTTTTTCTTTTAGGGGCATTTTGGGAAGTTCATAATAATAATGAAGAAAATATTGATATTATTTGATATTTAAATTGTATAATTTAATTATTATTTTCAAACATCAAATATCAATCTAAATCTACAATAAATAGTTATACATGCAGGTACAATTTCTTTTCTTCTCCTTTAATGCTAATCATTAGTTTATGAGTAATTTAATTGTTAATTTGTATTTTTCTAATAACAAAAATACCCTCCTGTGCTTTCTCACAACCTTGATAAACGTTATTTAAGGATGTTTCCGCTAGTTGAGGAGTTTATCGGGATTTCGCGTTCGCGTCCGCGTTCGCCTCCCATACTTTATTGTGCTACTTCTGCACCGTCTCAGTTAGAGCCCCTCTTTTCTGAATTTGAATTCTGAAACTCTGAATCTTAGAATCAATGACCATTGCGATTCCAAATCTGGTAGGCCTGAATAATCTCAACCCTAAAGTACGACAACTCCGTACCATGACTCTGCAAACAAATTTCAAACTTCCTCTTGTTGTTCTTCTTCATCCTCATCATGATGTTAAGCGGACTAGCGCGTGGTCGTCTTACAGAAGAACGAAAAGCCTGGCGCAAGAACCATCCCCATGTATATACATTTCTCCCTTTTCTTCCCTTTTTATGCCCATTTTCACTTCTGCTGCCATCAATTTTTTTTTCTTTTTTTCTTTTTTTTTATATTTCAAATGTTGGTTTTCAATGCCATGTTTTAGGGTTTTTGTGGCCTAGCCAAAAACAGCGGAATATGGCTCTCCTAATTTGTTGGTGTGGCACTGTATCATTCCCGGAAAGCTTGGGGTAAGAGTTGATTTATTAATTGATTTAATTCTTTTAAATTTAGGTTCATTCATTTGGCTGGAATTTATTTATTATTTGTGATTAAATTATGATTGTTATTGTTTTAGTTTAATTATATTAGTTGGGTTTAGTGAATATATAGATAATTTTAGAAAAAAAATTGTGAAATTATATGGACCCGGAAATCTTTGCATTTTATTGTCACATAATATTTTTTGAAACTATTAAAATAATAAAACCTTCTTAAATAGGAAATTTTTTGGTATAAAATTATTAAAACTCCCTTGACAGGGCTGTTTTGAGTAGTTCCTAAGAGCATTGGATGTTGATAAAAAAGGATCTTTGGGGGCTCCAATAATTCTTCCAAAAACATGATAGCACATAAGAATTTTTTCATCCAGCAGTTTAATATATGGAAAATTTTGTTTTGTGGCTGTATGCTGTTGTTAAAACCCTAACAACTTTAAAATTATAGTTTACCGAACACTATGTGTTTATGACTGTTCATGTTAAAAGCTACAACAACCTCAAATGGCTAAAAGGCTTGATATTGATACTGCAATTTCTAATATCTGCACTTTGTTGGATATCATCTGGTGTTTAATTCCCTTTTTTATTTATCTTACATTTGGTTGTCTCCCTTGCTTTTTGAGTTATACTTGTGTTTGGGATTTTAATTTTTTTTTTTTCTCAAACAAGTTTATACAATAATCTAATTCTATTTGTTATAGATTAAAGTCTTTGAATTTTTTTTCTTTTTTGAAAAAGGTTATTCGGGTCAACTTGTGCGGACCTCGACTAATTCCTGTAGGTGACTAATACATCATCTCACTGCTATGATCACCTGTTTAAATCTTGGGAGCCAGGGGGATTCGAACATGAGTGCGCCTTAACCACACATCTTAGCGCTCGTCCTACCACTTGAGCTACCCAAGGGTGGGTTAAAGTCTCTAAAATGCTAACATGCATTACATGATTTGCTTAATAGACAATATTAGATGGTTTTTTTTTTTCTTCCTCTTCCATTGAAACTTGGAATCTTGGTTGATGCTATGTTGATCACATTTTACTGCATCATTTGAAGAGTATTGACCAATTTTGCAGACTTCATGGGAAGGTGGCTGCTTTCGAGTTACTTTGAACTTCAGTGAACACTACCGTAGGCTACCCCCAATATGCAAGTTTCCAGAAGGTTTCTTCCACCATAATGTCGACCCTTTTGGCAATATATGTGCATCATTTCTTGACATCGAGATTTTAAGCTCTTCTTTATGCTATGTAATGTACTTGTAAATCATGTCTATAGCATTGACTACATTTATAGTTTATTAACATGGTGGCTTTCTCTGGGGGTGGACTCCATCCATAACTATGAAGGAAATTTTGTAGAGCTTTCAGATTTATTGGTTCAAGCTGATCTTGGTTATCCTACAGGAACTGATTCCTTTCAGCTCTACATCAAGGTCTTTTTCCATCCTTGAAAAACCGTAGTGTTTTATTTTACCTTCAGTTGCCTTTTTGTTTTCAAAGAAATAAAGCGTTGTCCTTAATCTATGAGGCTTTGATATTCACAGAATTACCACAAAGCATTTAAAATTTTCAAATCCATAATGAAATTCATTTACCAATATTTCGAAGCATATACTAAGTTTCATGAATTCTATAATGATCAAGAACTCTCCAAAACTTATTCAGGTTGAAGCAAGATTTAACTAAGAAACTGAAGCAGGATTCAGAGTGTTCAAAACAGATCATCTATTGTTGGAGAAAATAAGGGAGATCATAGGAAAGTAGCTGTCCAAACTGGTTCACAGTTGCAAGGGGCATGGCGTCGTCAGCAAAATTTGTGATGATATTCTGGTGAGCACAATCTGCATGACTGATTGCATCTGTATTGGCACAAGGGTACAATCGAAACTCTTCGTTTTCATACTCAGCAAGCATTCTCAGATGCACCCTGGTTAAAATCAATTTCAGGGTTGGAAAGAGATTTGGTGATAGCCCCAGATTCAGCTTCCTGGTTAATGTGGTTAATTTCATCACCACTCACACAATTCCCATCAGGATAGAAAACATTAGAAATTGAAGCATTGTTGATTCCAACATTAGCATTGCCATTGTAAAAACTGTTGTTTCCAATTTCCCCAGTATAATTACCATTGAAAACAGAGTTGGTAATGGTACTTAATTTGCCCTCCTGCACATTGGTATCAGCATTCATCAGAATCTCATCAAGATGGGAAAATTCAGAAGCCAAAGCAGAGCTAATTCCATTGCTAAAATCGATTTTGTCAACAAGATTGTTCCCAAAATTTGTAGTAGCATCAGAAGTAAAACCTGAAGCAAAGACCTTTGAACACAAGTAGTAACTCAACCTCATCAAAGCACTGTTTTTCAAACTTCCCATCTTTTCTTGAACAACAAGCAACTCATCAATGGACTCAAAACTCTTTTCCAAGTCTTCAAAATCCTTCAAGAACCCATCAATTTTCTCTCTAGTCCCAGGTTCTTTCTCAAATGCCTTGATTTCATTATAAACAGAAAGAGATGACCTTATAATTTCATTATCCACCGGCTCAGGAACACGATTGCGAAGAAAAGCATCAAATACTGAATCAACAGAAGGGTGTCCAAAAGAGAACATGCTTTCTTTTGAACAAGGCGAAGAAAACACCATGGCAATTTGAGCTCCAGAAAGCATGCACGATTCTGCAGCTTTGCTGAACAACCCATAACGCCTTTTTGAGAAACTAACAGCCCTTTGACTCTAGTTTCACGTTTTTGCATAGGAATTTTTCTGCTTGCTTTCATGGTTTAGCTACTAAATTCTGTTAACAAGTACTCAAGAGTTTTGTTAAAGCTAGTGCTTATATAAGGTTGATTCATGGGTCTGAATCCTTCTGTTTATAGGAAGTTGTTAATGGAGTTCAAATTTTAGGTCATTAATGGGGAGAATCTAGTTCATTAACAAATCAATATGGGAAGTTTTGGGTATCTGGAAATATTCGAAGCAATTAATTCATGGAGTTGAATTGGGGAGTTTATTGGAATTTTACGTTTCATATTTACTCTGATGCACTACAATGCCTCAGTTTGGACTTCTTCTGACATCAGGATTTTATGGGGTTTCTTTGGTATAATTGTTCTTTAATTATTTAATTATATTAGTTTGGTTTAATTAATACTATAATGCAAATTTCAGTGAACTTTCAGGATTTATTGGTTCAGCCTAATCTGGGTTAAATATCCTATAGAAACTGATGCATTTTAACTCTACATTAGGACTTTTTGTATCCTAAATGCTTTTCTAGATATTGTTCAATGTCCTGCTATTTAAGGGATGCAAAAGGTAGATGAAGCGTCTCCTTCAAGAAGAAATAGAAGAATTTCTTGGGAAACCTACAAATCCATTCGTTTTTCATTTGGGTTCGAATCCTATTGAGTGGTCTACCAGAAATTAGAAATTGTTAAAAAAAAAAGATGTTTCTTTTGTCCCTCTTAGGCGATTGGAAAATAAAGAAATAATTAATATAATCAAGATATTACATGCTTAAAAAAAATACTTGCTTAATCCATAAAATAATAATTTGTTTTTGGGTTTCGAAAGAAATAAAACCTTTTCCTTAAATCAATGTGGCTGTCATGTACTTATGTTGGCAGAATCCTTGTGAGTATTGATTTTTCCCTTGCCAGGTTTCTATCATAAAATATTGTAAATTTCAAATTCAATGCCAATATTTTATGAAATTACCCACTAATCCCATCACCATTACCAGCTTCAAACACCGCTGTAGATGCCTTATGGCGAAAGTCATCTCAGTTTTTTGCTTGTGGTTATTGATTAATTAACAACATTAAATAAACCCTCCATTAATCCCTACTAATTAATTTGCCAATAAATCACTTAATGCTATGGTTGAGGATTTTGCTAAATGGATCATAGAGATTGAGTATACATTTGGTATTTATGGACAATTGCATTGGGTTTTCAGAAATTAATGCTGTAAAAGAAGTTAAATTTAAATTACATAATTAATTACAAAGACAAATGTCACTATAGCCAATTTAATAATTACAATTTCAAAAAATGTGCAGATTTATTTAAAGTACAAATTTAGTCTTAAAATCCAATACGTTATCAATTATACTTTTAATGAATCAATAAATGTTATATTACTAATATATAGCTCTAAGCTGTGCTAGACCATCGAGTCTAGTATTTACCAATATGGTTTAAAAGTTTAATTAAAGCATACTAGACCATGTTAGATGGTGCTAGAATTAATAGTCTAAAACATACTAGACCATTGGTGATCGATTACCTTATGATCCAAATTTAAACTAATTGAAAAGAAGATTGTATTTATGTCTTTCTAGTTTCACTTCAATGTTAATAAACAATTGTTTAGAATTTCATAATTCTAGGCTATCTACAAATGTGGTCGTTTGTGAAGCATCCAAACAATCTGTTATAACACCCAAACAACCCATACAGTCAGTGCCATCGACAAGAAGCTTGAGGACTACCAAACATAAAACGCCTGTTCCATATCAGATATTTCTGAGTAGGCAAGAACGCCTGTTCCACTGACCTGAACGACCGTTCTTCTGGGTGGCTTAACCAAAAATCTGTAGATTCACACTTTTTCTGCAATTCCAACCAACATACAATTGATATGAGCGGGACCCCTGAGTGCGTCAACCGCAACCGTGACGCCGATAGTCCGTCCCCTACTCCAAGTCCAGCCTCATCGCAAAAACACACAACAAACAAAATACCCTTCTCATACCAATTCAACCACAACCATGACACAACTCATCATCAAACATTTCCAATCCATGTTTACATCTCCAAAGGGTGTACTGATCCCCACAACAAGCAACAAGCAAAACAACAAACATACGTATAACATATCCAAAATCTTTTCTCTAACCCAAGCAATTTATATCAAATCAAAATACAATACTCCCTCGTAGCATTATACGGCTACAAACAGTCAAACACTATCAGAATAGGGTGCAGGGGTTACACCCAAGGCTTTGGTACCATGTAAAGCAAGGTATTCAGCCGTAGTAATTGGTTCCTTGAAGAGTAACAGAGATTTATACTGAGAGATTCCCATAACTACTCCTACAATTGAGGTGTACATAAAAGGAAAATATATACAGAAAATCAATTAGCAATTAACCGCCCATAGTTGTGTTATACGACTCCAAAACTTTAGGGATACCATTGACTTCTCAACATGTTCAAGTCATCTTAACTATGTCCTCCTGAATGGTGATATAATTACTACTGCTCATTTATAAAAGATAGACCTGATGGCAACATGCAAGGCCTTAATTATTGCAGAACAGATTTGATGGTCAATTTTTTTTTTTTTTTTTTTTGAAAAGCTATGGCATTGCGATGCAATTTATTCCAGAACTTATTCGTTTTCAAGGATGATGTCTTGGGCTCGAATTAAGGGTATGCATTCTACACCCCACCATAGAAAGTGGGTAAGAGACAAATTCGAGTCCCACCATAGAAAGTGAGTAGGACAATGCGTATGAATGTAGCTCTCAGAGCCCTACAAAAGATAGTGAACGACAATTTTTAGTAGATCTTTTGCCTTAACCATTTTATATAAAATTGCGAAAGAATTTGGTCTTAACCAAGATTGTATTCATCTGGCTTTTGCCTAATCCTTGTGCTAATTAGAACATATTTCTCTGAAAACCAAGTCCATATAAGACTTTGTTCATGATACTACTGATCTTATGACTGTTGAAATAAAATTTTTATTTTTCATTTTCTCAGTGGAATAATTTTCTGTGCATTCTTCCATCAAAGCTTCATACAAAATCTTGCACTTTCACACCCCCAAATCAATTAATCCTATCCCTGACGACCATGCTTTATTCTCATGGAATCCAGGTAAGATTTTTCGTGAAGCTCACGAGCAAATAGGCCTTTGAAGTACTCTTCAATTGTCACTCTTCTAAACGATGCAGGTGTTTGTTCAGTGATCAAACTGAATGCAGGGCCTACTTCACCATCATATCTCGGGCTGTAAAACGTTGCAATGGACAGTCTCTCTTGCACAGAGTTTACCGTTGCACGATGCTCAATGCTTCTGTATGCTCCATTGGTTATCATCTGCCATGTAAAGTTCCCAAATCAATAGTCAACTGGTTATCATGAATAATGTTAGTGGAGATTAAAAGTATGGAAAGGGGTTGGTTTATTGTTTAAAATAATTAGCAGTAGTGGAAGGTTATGAAGTAGACTCACTAACTTTTCTAAATTTTGACTTGATGTAGATTGTTTGGAGTGCAGAAATGAGAGAGAAGGTAGGGTCGATTCATCCGAATTTTCCCCAAAATGGTCGTTTCTGTAATCCAAGTTGAAGGGTAAAGTCGAATGGGATACTTTAAACATGTTGGGGCCATGTTTATTTACTTTTCTCGTTTGAAAAGAATCTCTCAAAGAAATTATTGCTGTTTTAATTTTCCATAAAAATTTTACACAAAAAGTTGCAAGGAAGTTGTTTTTTCCAATCATAAAAGCCAAAATTAGAGGAATTGACGATAATTAATACCTCCAACATGTCTCCAATGTTGACAATAAAGGCATTTGGGAGGGGTGAAACAGGAACCCACTTGCCATTTTTCTTTATCTGGAGACCTTCAACTTCATTGATCTGTAGAAGAATTGTCAAGCCTGTGGCATCAGAGTGAGGAGTGAGGCCCATAACCTTCTCTGGCTGTGGACATGGAGGGTAATAGTTCATCCTCATTGATTGCTTTCCGTTTTCAAAGAAGTCTCTCATTTCATCAGCTTTGATGTTTAAAACTTTTGCCACTTTCAATAACAGAGATATGGCAAGAGTTCTCAGTTCTAGTGAGTAAACTTCCAAGGTTTCTCTGCATGAAAAAGAAAGTTCAATTAGAAGCTCTAATTTTCTTTCTCTTTCCTGGAAAATAATACTGGACTAAAACTAACTTGAGAGGGAGAGGGAGGTTAGGAAATAAGTGGGGTTTCCTTAGATGGACTGGTTGGGTTGTCATGTAGAACATATCACCCCAATCAAGCTTTTGTTCCTCAGATACAACAAAGGCTTGTCCAAATCCTTCTACTTCTCCTGGATACTGCCAATATTTTTTCTTCTCTTCCATTTTGAGATTGAAAAATTCCTGAATCTGTTTCTTTACTATCTCTAGAAATGCTGAGCTTACTCCATGATCTACCAACTGAAGTCATGCAGATAGTGCAGTAAGTTTAAGCGATCAGACAAAATATTTTATCGACAGAAATGCAGCGCAGCTTAATTGATTGAGAATCTCTGCAGTCAGTATTTGCTTTAACTTTCTTATTTCTGGCTAATTTGTTAGAATGAAGAAACTAACCTATTGAAATAGCAAAGGAAGAACAATTTGAAGCAATTTGAGTTAACTAAGCTCTATAAGGCAAAATCAGAACTTTAACTTTGCGCAAAATATGCGATAATGGTCATCAAACTGTGTCTCTCAAGTCAAAACAACTGATCCTTTTTCATACTTGTAGCCTAATTTGACCTGTTTTGAATTATATTGACGCTATTACATAGTTTCTTTCATTCATAGTCTTGCCCAACAAAACAAGAAGAGAAAGGATGATGAAAATAGATGGTTTGGCTCCAAGTATTGCTTTGATAAGAAAGAAAAATCACATATGGAAGCATGTTATGAGAAAAAAAAAGTGCTTTACTATGAGACAGGGGTTTACCTGGAAGAAACCCCATTCTTTGCAAGCAAAGTGGAGCTTGACTAGTTCAGAACCCTCTAATTCTTCAGTAAACAACTTCTGCATGTTAATAACTGGGATCTCTGAGATCACACCAGCATCAGAAATGATGGGCAATTCTTGTTCTGGACGTATGTATCGGGGAGGGACAGTTTCCATAGGCTTCTTGGCTAACTCTTGAACACAAGGAACCAGTAGTGAACCTCCAAGTTTGGCCATCTCTTTTTCCAAAAATTAATTTGCTCGACATGTGTAAGCATTGTTGAATTGAATTATCTAGTGGCAATATTTTCAAACTTACCAACAGCCTCGTTGAAAGTCTAGTAGGTTTTCTGTGGACTAGTTCTCCCTTGAGGGAGGTTGAGCTGCAAAGTCACTCATGCCAATTTGTAAAGAAGACTCTAAACTTTCTCATTAAGGCCTTGAGAAACATGTTCAAAAAACTGTAGAAAATCTATAGTCACGTTTCACTTATAAATGATCAAAATTGTTGACGAAATGGAAGGCGGCTCAATAAATTCTGCAGTCCAAGTTTGATGGCTATTTTGTCTTCTTAATGCTGTGTTCATTATTTCACATAATACAATCTTGCTGACACCTCAGCCAACAACATCATAATATTATTGCATTCGTGTTACAAATGTTTCCATAAACTCATCTTATTTTGTCACTTTCTTACAATTAACAGTGCACACTTCCTTCAAAGCTTCCAAATCTGGCCCCAAATAGACTAATCCTGTTTTTGACCACGCTGAATTCTAATGACATCAAGATGAGATTTTTCATGAAGCTCAAGAGAAAACAGGCTCTTAAAGAACTCTTCGACTTTCATTCTTCTAAACAATTCAGGTGTTTGTTCAGTGATCAAACTGGGTGCAGGGCCTACTTCACCATCATAACTGGGGTTGTAGAATGTGGCTATGGACAGTCTTTCTTGTACAGAGTTAACCGTCGCGCGATGCTCGATGCTACGGTATGCTCCATTGGTTATTACCTGCCATGTCAAACTCGCAAAAAACAATACTCAACTTGGGGATCAAATAGCATCAGCCATCAGGCCAGTCAATTATATCGCAACATGTATTCCGAAAACCGGACCGGACCGGCCATTTTACCTCCAACAAGTCTCCAATGTTGACGATAAAAGCATTTGAAAGGGGTGTAACAGGAACCCACTTGCCATTTGTAGGAGAATAGTCAAAGCTGGGGCATCAGAATGAGGAGTGAGGCCCATAACCTTCTCTGGCTGAGGACATGGAGGATAATAGTTTATTCTCATTGATTGGAATCCATTTTCAAAGAACCCTCTCATTTCTTCAGCTTTCATAATTAACACTTTTGCAATTTTTGATGATAGAGACATGGCTAGAGTTTGTAATTCCCGTCAGTAAACTTCTAATGTGTCCCTAACCCAACAAAAAAAAAAAAAAAAAAAATTTTAATATTTTCATATTTTTGGTATTTTTTCAATCATTTTTAATATTTTCTGAAAATATAAAATAGATTTATAAATGAACACATTGTTCTGAAATCCCACATCGCTCCATGAGAGAGAGAGAATGTGTGTATATATATGTGGGGCTATAAGCTTTAACCCAACATGACACATTTTGGGTTTGAAGCCTAAAAACAAAACTGTGAAGCCTTGTAGTACCAAAACAGACAATATCATATTAGATCATTTATAATATGTTATCAGCATGATCATGATGAGAGGATGTGTTGTGATATCCCACATCACTTTGTGTGAGAGGGAGATGAAAGATGTGTTGTGAAGTCTCACATCTCTCCATGTAAGAGAGGGTGTGTGTATATATATGGGGGCATGGGGCTATAGGCCTTAAACCAACATGCCGCATTTTAGGCCTGAAGCCCAGAACAAAACCGTGCGGCCTTGTAATTCCAAAGCAAACAATATCATATTGAGTCATTTATAACACACCTCCTATATTTTACTCTATTTAGTCCAATTGAAAAATTAATATAAAATTAAAAAAAAATAATACTACTCTTCATGAATTTGGCCCATTAGCTAATAAGTTAGAAACCGATAATAAAAAGCATGGGCTTGTGAGCTGGGCTGCCAAAATTCATCCAGCCCAGTCCAAGGTAGCTTTATGGGTTGGGTCATGGGTGGGCCTAATAAAATGAAAAAGGAACCCAGCCCACAAAAGCACAACACAAGCACACTGTAGACAGAGAGTGATGGAGATATTGAACCTGAATGGAAGNTTTTCCAAAAATTAATTTGCTCGACATGTGTAAGCATTGTTGAATTGAATTATCTAGTGGCAATATTTTCAAAATTACCAACAGCCTCGTTGAAAGTCTAGTAGGTTTTCTGTGGACTAGTTCTCCCTTGAGGGAGGTTGAGCTGCAAAGTCACTCATGCCAATTTGTAAAGAAGACTCTAAACTTTCTCATTAAGGCCTTGAGAAACATGTTCAAAAAACTGTAGAAAATCTATAGTCACGTTTCACTTATAAATGATCAAAATTGTTGACGAAATGGAAGGCGGCCCAATAAATTCTGCAGTCCAAGTTTGATGGCTATTTTGTCTTCTTAATGCTGTGTTTATCATTTCACATAATACAATCTTGCTGACACCTCAGCCAACAACATCATAATATTATTGCATTCGTGTTACAAATGTTTCCATAAACTCATCTTATTTTGTCACTTTCTTACAATTAACAGTGCACACTTCCTTCAAAGCTTCCAAATCTGGCCCCAAATAGACTAATCCTGTTTTTGACCACGCTGAATTCTAATGACATCAAGATGAGATTTTTCATGAAGCTCAAGAGAAAACAGGCTCTTAAAGAACTCTTCGACTTTCATTCTTCTAAACAATTCAGGTGTTTGTTCAGTGATCAAACTGGGTGCAGGGCCTACTTCACCATCATAACTGGGGTTGTAGAATGTGGCTATGGACAGTCTTTCTTGTACAGAGTTAACCGTCGCGCGATGCTCGATGCTACGGTATGCTCCATTGGTTATTACCTGCCATGTCAAACTCGCAAAAAACAATACTCAACTTGGGGATCAAATAGCATCAGCCATCAGGCCAGTCAATTATATCGCAACATGTATTCCGAAAACCGGACCGGACCGGCCATTTTACCTCCAACAAGTCTCCAATGTTGACGATAAAAGCATTTGAAAGGGGTGTAACAGGAACCCACTTGCCATTTGTAGGAGAATAGTCAAAGCTGGGGCATCAGAATGAGGAGTGAGGCCCATAACCTTCTCTGGCTGAGGACATGGAGGATAATAGTTTATTCTCATTGATTGGAATCCATTTTCAAAGAACCCTCTCATTTCTTCAGCTTTCATAATTAACACTTTTGCAATTTTTGATGATAGAGACATGGCTAGAGTTTGTAATTCCCGTCAGTAAACTTCTAATGTGTCCCTAACCCAACAAAAAAAAAAAAAAAAAAAATTTTAATATTTTCATATTTTTGGTATTTTTTCAATCATTTTTAATATTTTCTGAAAATATAAAATAGATTTATAAATGAACACATTGTTCTGAAATCCCACATCGCTCCATGAGAGAGAGAGAATGTGTGTATATATATGTGGGGCTATAAGCTTTAACCCAACATGACACATTTTGGGTTTGAAGCCTAAAAACAAAACTGTGAAGCCTTGTAGTACCAAAACAGACAATATCATATTAGATCATTTATAATATGTTATCAGCATGATCATGATGAGAGGATGTGTTGTGATATCCCACATCACTTTGTGTGAGAGGGAGATGAAAGATGTGTTGTGAAGTCTCACATCTCTCCATGTAAGAGAGGGTGTGTGTATATATATGGGGGCATGGGGCTATAGGCCTTAAACCAACATGCCGCATTTTAGGCCTGAAGCCCAGAACAAAACCGTGCGGCCTTGTAATTCCAAAGCAAACAATATCATATTGAGTCATTTATAACACACCTCCTATATTTTACTCTATTTAGTCCAATTGAAAAATTAATGCAAAATTTAAAAAGAATAATACTACTCTTCATGAATTTGGCCCATTAGCTAATAAGTTAGAAACAGATATTAAAAACATGGGCTTGTGAGCTGGGCTGCCAAAATTCATCCAGCCCAGTCCAAGGTAGCTTTATGGGTTGGGTCATGGGTGGGCCTAATAAAATGAAAAATGAACCCAGCCCACAAAAGCACAACACAAGCACACTGTAGACAGAGAGTGATGGAGATATTGAACCTGAATGGAAGCAGGAGGTTAGGAAACAAATGGGGTTTCCTCCAATGGGGTGGTTGGGTAGTCATGAAGAAAATGTCACCCCAATCAAGCTTTTGGTCCTCAGACACAACAAAAGCTTGCCCAAATCCTTCTACTTCTCCAGGATATTGCCAGTATCTTTTCTTCTCTTCCATATTCAGGTTGAAGAATTCCTGAATCTCTTTCTTCACTTTTTCTAGAATTGATGAGCTCACTCCATGATTCACCAACTGAAATTATGCAAAAAAAATAAATAAATAAAAAAGTCTTAAAGATGAATTAACGGAAACTAGCATACACCATAAAAGGAATATTTTATTTACCTGGAAGAAACCCCATTCTTTGCAGGCAAAGTGGAGCTTGTTTAATTCAGAATCCATTGATTCTTCAGAAATCAACTTTTGCATGTTAATAACTGGAATCTCTGAGATCAGATCAGCATCAGAAATAATGGAGTCTTGTTCTGGACGTATATATCTGGAAGGGACAGTTTCCATAGGCTTCTTGGCCAATTCTTGAACACAAGGAACATGTAATGAACCTCCTAGTTTGGCCATCTTTTCTTCCACAAATTTGCTCAACAATTCTACAGATTTCTTACAATCTCTGAAATGATTTTTATTCAGCGAATCTGCCTACACTTCAAAGTGTTTTTTCTAGAGCAATCCCCACCTTTCTAAATATGTGGTGAAAATCTTTTCGAAACCCACTGCTTGTCTTCTGGGTCATTGTCAACACAAGTACGAAGATCCTTTTCCCTTTTGGATTTACCTGAAGCTGGCTGGTTTTTAGTTTTTAATTAATTCAGTGTCACAAACCTCATCCTTTCTATAGTGTACCCAACTTGAAAATTAGACTCTAAAATTGCCCACGACTTAAGGGTTTGAGAAATATATTCAACTAATCAATTAAAGGACGGCCAAAGTTGAAATCGAAATCAAGTACACTTCAATTCATTCAAACATCAAGGTAAAATTACAATATGATTCTCAATATAAGATTACAGCCTTCTTAAAGGTCTCTTCATAATACTACTGGTCTCACACTGTTTCCAAACAACTCTATTATTTATTGTCACTTTTTCACACAATTTTTAAAGCCTTCTTCCT